GGAGGAGGTTGCAGCTGATAAGAAAAGATTAGATGACCATCCCCCTCCCTTTGTTTTTGCTGGTACAAGAACATTTCTGTCTATTTGTCAAACTCCCTGTCTATCTGTCTAGCTCTCTGTCTCAGAGAGCCACAAGACTGCGTCATCACCTTTACTCACATCTTCAAGAAGAGTATAGCACTTTGTCTGGATTTTTTGGGTTATCCTAGGTAATTTGTACTATGTATACTTGTATTTATGCGTACCTGTGAGACAGAGATAGACAAAGACAGATTGAAAGAGATAGACGAAGCCAGAGACAGATAGACAAAGCCAGACAGACACACTTGTTCAGGTTTCAAGTCTTCACTGTCTATGTAATCCTTGAATTCCTTCACATATTTTTCAGCCTCTTTGTGGTCTGAACTGGCAGCCTCACCATGCCTAATCACACTGTGTATGCCACTATGATTCTTATATCTTTCAAACCAACCTTTGCTGGCCTTAAATTCACTCACATCGCCACTAGTTGCAACTGCAACTGCCTAGCAACTGCAACTTCCTAGCCTTTTCACAAATGATCTCTTGAGAGATGCTATCTCCTGCTATCTGTTTTTTATTTATCCACACCAATAACAGTCTCTCAACATTTTCTAACACTTGCGGTCGCTGTTTCGTAATCACAGTTGCACCTTTTGCAAGAACAGCTTCCTTGATTGCCGTTTTCCTGGTCACTATAGTAGAGATGGTTGATTGAGTTTTGTATACAACTTGGCCAGCTCCGACACACGCACTCCACTTTCGTACTTTGCAATTATCTCTTTTCATTTCAATAGTCATTAGCACCCTTGGTCTCGAAGGGTTGGCACTAGAAGCTTTCTTGAGGCCCATGGTTACTTATTTTGCAGAAACAAGCACCAAAAACATTGTGATAATATGGAATGTACAGAATGTATCCTTAGATGCGAGCGCACTGGCTGGCTTGTAAGCACTGGCACACACGGGGCAGTTCAGGCCACACGTGGACACGTCTCGGACGAATCGCATATACCGGGTTTTGTAACAGGAACTGAGGCAAAATTTTTGCGATGCAATGCATCGGATACCAATGGTATCGCAAACCGGGGGTCCACTGTATATATATTTGGGGTGCTACGGGAGTGAACGTATATATACGTTTGGACCGTTTAAGGGTTAAGAGGAAGGTGGGTTAGTGGTCAGTAGTGCTACCTGTGATTGTCCCTGATTGAGGGGGGGCTAGTATATTAGTCCGTATATGGTCAATTATGGTTGCAATTGTCTCGGTCAGCCTGGTTGGTTTAGTTATAGTACACCTACCATCCGACTTACGACCTGCTCGACTTACGACCACTCGACTTATGACCTTGTTTTTTTTTGCCAAATTTCTGGGAAATAAACAACTATTTGTGTTGTACACAGTGTTTGTCCTAAACCTTACAGTATAAAATACAGTACTAACAGCATAAAAAGTAAAGTAAAATATGAAATACCAAAATAAAACAATAAAATAAAGTCATTACAAAAATGTGATGTTGATATTCAGTAGTAAAGTTCGGCTTGGGTCCATTTCGACTTACGACCGTTTTCTCGGAACCGAACTCTGTCGTAAGTTGGATGGTAGGTGTAGTTGGTATGAGAAGTGTGTTGTTTATATTGTTGATGAAATCAGTTACAGATTGATCATCTGTTAGGCCGAGGTTGATGTTTATGTTGAGGTTGATGTTCTACTAAGAGAAGGTGGTGCTTGTTCATTTGCTTGTTTGTTATTAGTGTCTTTAATTTATCACTAAAATTTGGGATGTTTGTATGAGGCGTCTGGTAAATGGCACAGATTGTTATAGAAGTCTTAAGATTTTTAAAGTAAAATTTGCCAAAATATATGCTCCATATTCATCACTGTAGCAAGTGGTGTTATAACAAGAAAGTTCATTAGTGTAATAGATTGCAATACCACCCACAACTTGGAATGGTCTGCAGTTGTGGATTGCTGCGTATCCTGGTAGTGAGTAGATATCTATTTTGCCCTGCTTAAGCCAGGTTTCAGTAAGAATTATACAGGTGAAGATTTTCTTTAGGGAATCGAGGAGTGCCAGGAGGTCATACTAGTGTTCGCTTAGGGACCTGATGTAATTAAGAACTGTAATATTTTTAGCAGTACATACAGTGGACCCTCGCCTAACGATATTAATCCGTTCCTGAGAGCTCAACGTTAGGCGAAATTATCGTTACCCGAATTAATTTTCCCCATAAGAAATAATGGAAATCAAATTAATCCATTCCTGACACCCCAAAGTATGAACAAAAAAAAATTTACGACATGAAATATTAATTTTAATACACACAAACTGAAGAAGACATGTACAATTACATGACACTTACCTTTATTGAAGATCTGGTGATGATTGATGGGATGGGAGGAGGGGAGTGTGTGGATGGTGTTAATGTTTAGAAGGGGAATCCCCTTCCATTAGGACTTGAGATATCAAGTCCTTTTCTGGGGTTACTTCCCTTCTTCTTTTAATGCCACTCGGACCAGCTTGAGAGTCACTGGACCTCTTGTCGCACAACATGTCTGTCCATAGAGGCCTGTACATCCCGTTCCTTTATGACATTCCTTAAGTGTTTCACAACATTGTCAGTGTAATAGTCACCAGCATGGCTTGCAATAGCTGTGTTAGGGTGACTTTCATCAAAAAAGGTTTGCACTTTAAGCTGCATTGCACACATTTCCTTAATCTTTGAAGTAGGCAACTTCCTCAATTTCTCTATCCCCTCCTCTGGAGCAGTTTCCTCAGGTCTGGCCTCTTGCTGTTGAAGATGATCTTGCAGCTCATCAGTGGTTAGTTCTTCATTGTCCTCCTCCACCAACTCTTCCACATCCTCCCCACTAACCTCCAACCCCAAGGACTTCCCCAATGCCTCAATTGATTCCACATCTGGCATAGGCTTCTCAGGGTTAGCCTCAAATCCTTCAAAATCCCTTTTGTCTACACATTCTGGCCACAGTTTCTTCCAAGCAGAGTTCAAGGTCCTCTTAGTCACTTCCTCCCAAGCCTTATCTATAATGTTTACACAATTGAGGATGCTAAAGTGATCTCTCCAAAACTCTCTTAGACTCAGTTGAGTTTCTGTGGTCACTACAAAGCACCTTTCAAACATAGCTTTTGTGTAGAGTTTTTTGAAGTTTGCAATGACCTGCTGGTCCATGGGCTGCAGGAGAGGAGTGGTATTAGGAGGCAAAAACTTGACCTTAATGAAGCTCATGTCCCCAGAAAATTGCTCTGCCACGTCTGAAGGTTGACCAGGAGCATTGTCTAATACCAGGAGGCACTTAAGGTCCAATTTATTTTCCAGGAGGTAATTTTTCAGTGGGGGCAAATGCATGGTGTAGCCAGTCATAGAAAAGATAGAAAAGGTCTCTAGTGACCCATGCCTTACTGTTTGCCCTCCACATCACACACAAATTAGCCTTGAGGACATTGTTTTTCCTGAACACACTGGGAGTTTCAGAGTGATACACCAATAAAGGCTTCACTTTGCAATCACCACTAGCATCAGCACACATCAACAGAGTAAGCCTGTCTTTCATAGGCTTATGTCCTGGGAGTGCCTTTTCCTCCTGAGTAATGTAGGTCCTGCTTGGCATTTTCTTCCAAAACAGGCCTGTTTCGTCACAATTAAACACTTGTTCAGGTTTCAATTCTTCACTGTCTATGTACTCCTTGAATTCCTGCACATATTTTTCAGCTGCTTTTTGGTCCGAACTGGCAGCCTCACCATGCCTTATCACACTATGTATGCCACTATGTTTCTTAAATCTCTCAAACCAACCTTTGCTGGCCTTAAATTCACTCACATCACCACTAGTTGCAGGCATTTTTCTAATTAAATCGTCATGCAACTTCCTAGCTTTTCTACATATGATGCTTGAGAGATGCTATCTCCTGCTATCTGTTTTTCGTTTATCCACACCAATAACAGTCTCTCAACATCATCTATCACTTGCGATCTCTGTTTCGAAAGCAAAGTTGCACGTTTGGCAAGAACAGCTTCCTTGAGTGCCGTTTTCTTGGCCACAATAGTAGCGATGGTTGATTGGGGTTTTGTGTACAACCTGGCCAGCTCGGAGACACACATTCCACTTTCATACTTAGCAATGATCTCTTTCTTCATATCCATAGTAATTCTCACCCTTTTTGCTGTAGGGTTGGCACCAGAAGCTTTCTTGGGGCCCATGGCGACTTATTTTGCAGTGCAATCACTAAAAACTCTGTGGTAATATGAAATATTCCGATTGTATGTTTGGATACGACCGCGGTGGCTGGCTTGTAAACACTGGCACCCACGGGACAAGTGAGGCGCATCAGGCCGCAAGTGGATGCGTCTCGAATGGAACGAATCGCGTTGGGCGAGTTTTTTAGCGCTAGCCGTGGCAAAATTTTTGCGTTAAAATGTATCGCTAGACGGATTTAACGTTATGTGATGCGTTCGTTAGGCGTCGGTCCACTGTATTTAGGACATTGCTGGCTTGTGATGCTGTGCAATAGAGGCAGTTACCTTCCTTCAAATTTTGATTGGGAGTTAGATTATATAGATTTAGATCTGGAGAGACGTGATCATTCATCATTTAGGTTAAATTGTAATTCATTATATAATGTATATTATGTAGAGTTCCAGTACTGATATCTGTAATAAGGGGATGTTTGGATGTCTACTATGAAGACCATTCTATAGGATCTTTAATTTTGGTTGCACTTTTTCAATTTTGTTTAGAAAAAAATAGCTCTGGCTGTAAATAACTTAGTAAGATAGCTAACTACTCTTGACTTTGTTAAGAATAAGATAACTATCTGTATCCTTGACTTTGTTAAGAATAAGGTAACTTACTGTACTCTTGACTTGGTCAAAAATAAGTTAACTGACTTTACTCTTGACTTTGTTAAGAATATGATAATTTGTTTCAAAGAATATGTTCTTTTAGCAATTTTACATACTTGAAGGTGTATCGTGCTCTGGCCTAAAGAGAAAGAAATCTTCGAAGCTTGCCTACTTTGAATCATCAGACAAATTTGACACGCGCTTCAAATGCAAGACTGATAGACATTTAAGACCCCAAAACAGTATGAAAATTGGACAGCCTATGGTGAGTAGTGACAAGTGTTTTACATTTGTGAACTGTCAGTATACTGTATATTATGGGTGGTCCACGACTTACGATAGGGTTATGTTCCGACGAACCCATTGTAAATTGAAAATATTGAAAGTTGAAAATATTGTATGTTGAATATGAATACTGTATACAAAATAAATAAGTAAATAAATGACTACTGTCACTAAATAATAAATAAAAAAATAATTACTGTAACTAAATACCAGTATTGGAAAGTAAATAAATGAATTCAAGTTATGGACTTCGTGCATTCATGCTGGGTAATTGTCTTAAGTTTCATCTTCAAAGTAATTGCTTTTGCACCATCATAAAAGCAAAATATTGTAAGGCAAACCATAGTAAGTTAAGGAGTACCTGTATGTTATTTACTTATATGTATGATGTATGATCCTCACTGGATTAGAGCTTGCCAGTGTGCATATATACATGAATATGAGAATAAAACTTTCTAATTTTCCCTGCATAATGGTTGCAGGGCGTTGATGTGTGTGATGATGCAAACACCTACATTGATGATGACTTGATTGAGGTGAAAGATGGTAAGTTTTATTACATTTTAAATACTGTAGACTGTAGAGTAATAAATTATAATATGTTTTTATTAACCTCTTAAATTCAGTAACAATATGCAAAGCAGCCACTGTGAAAAAATAGTGAACTTCCAAGCACTTTCATGATTTCTCACATTATCAAGGACCTTACAGAACAGAAAGGCACAATGACTAGAACAATATACAGTGTACCCCGCTTATCGGCCACGTCTGTTGTCGGCCATCTCAGTGATAGGCCATTTTTTCGGCGCCCGGTTATCAGCCGTTAATTTGGTGTTCGGCCATTTGGGATGTGTCCGTCCGCCGGCTGGGGCTGCTTGCACATCAGTTTCACTGTGTCTCTCGGTGGCTGAGGAAGCTTCTGCTCATACATCCAAACATATCACTTATTTCCATTGTAGTTTGTTATTTTTGCAGTGCAACTGTGAAATAAGTACCCATGGTTCCAAAGGAAGTTCCTGTGGTAAAGAAAGTGAGAAAAACCATAGAATTTAAGTGTGAAGTGATCAAAAAGTTTGAGAGTGGTATGAGGGTGCTGGAACTTGCCAGGATGTACAGCAAGACTAAATCAACAATTACATCCATCCTGGCAGAGAAAGAACAAATAAAGGATGCTAATGTTGCAAAAGGAGTAAGTTTTCTAACTAAATAAAGGCCACCAATAATGGAAGAGATGGAAAAGTTATTATTATTGTGGATTAAAGAAAAAGAATTAGTGGGAGACAGTGTTGTGGAGTCGATTATTTGTGAGAAGGCAAGGCAGTTGCATGAGGATCTTGTAAAGAAAATGCCTGGAACAAGTGCTGCAGCTTGTGAATTTAGTGCCAGCAAAGGATGGTTTGATATATTTAAGAAGTGTAGTGGAATACACAGTGTTGTAAGGCATGGTGAGGCTGCAAGTTCTGACAAATGTGCTGCTGAAAAATATATTCACGAATTCCAGGACTTTGTAAAGACTGAAGGATTCGAACCCCAACAAGTGTTCAATTGTGATGAAACAGGTCTGTTTTGGAAGAAAATACCAAACAGGTCCTACATTACCCAGGAGGAAAAGGCACTACCAGGACACATGCCTATGAAAGACAGGCTTACTCTTTTGTTGTGTGGTAATGTTATGGGATTTCAAAGTGAAGCCTTTACTTGTGTATCACTCAGAAAATCCCAGTGTGTTCAAGAAAAACAATGTCATAAAGAATAGATTGTGTGTGATGTGGGAAGCTAATCATGAGGCATGGGTCACAAAGCAAATTTTCAGAGAGTGGGTTAATGATGTGTTTGGCCCAAGTGTGAAAAAATACCTCCTGGAAAAGAAATCGCCGCTCAAGTGCCTCCTGGTACTGAACAATGCTCCTGCACATCCTCCAGACTTGGAAGACCAAGTGTTTAGGGATTTCAATTTTATTAAAGTGAAGTTCTTGCCTCCTAACACCACTCCTCTCCTCCAGCCCATCGTCGACCAGCAGGTCATTTCTGACTTCAAAAAACTCTACATCAAAGCAGTGTTTCAAAAGTGCTTTGAAGTGACCTCGGGCACTCAGTTGACCCTAAGAGAGTTCTGGAGGAATCACTTCACTATCCTCCATTGCATAAGCCTTATAGGTAAAGCTTGGGAGGGAGTGACTTCCAGGACTTTGAACTCTGCTTGGAGAAAACTGTGGCCAGATTGTGTCCAAGAGAGGGATTTTGAAGGGTTTAAGGCTAACCCTGACCTTACCGACTCTGTGGACTCTAGTGTGGCACTGGGGAAGTCCCTGGGGTTGGAGGTGAGTGGCAAGGATGTGGAAGAGTTGGTGGAGGACCACAGGGAAGAGCTAACCACCGAAAAGCTGCAAGAGATTCAACTCAAACAGCAACAGACTGCAGCTGAGGAACTTGCTTAAGAGGAAGAGGGAGTGTAGAAGGTGCCCTCTTCATTGATTAAGAACATTTGTGCAAAGTGGAATGATGTGCAAGGTTTTGCCCAAGAAGTACCACCCTGACAAAGCTGAAACAAGCCATATCAGCAACATGTTTAGTGATAAAACCCTGTCCCACTTCTGGGAAATCTTAACCCTTTGACTGACGCAACCCCAAATCCTGAGGTGTCTCCTGGTGTCACAAAATATTTGAAAAAAAAAAGAAATTATTTTTTCTTATTAAATGATAGAGAATCTTTTTCCAATGGTAATGACACCAAAAGTACGAAATTTGATGAAAAACTTATGGAATTATGCTCTCGTGAAGTTAGCAACCTCGTTGATATTTACGAATCGGCAATTTCACCCAATTTGAGCCCTATTTTTGACTAATTTCATTGCTCCAGTCGACCAAACTCGTAGCTATTTCTTTAGAACTCCATTTGTTCTATCAACTGAGTACAAGACACTGCCCATTTACCGATTTCAACTACCCAATAAAGTGGTTAGAAATTGGCAATTTGGCCAATTTCATGCAAATTAAAACATATGCCAGTTTCAAAATAGGGTCCAGAATGAACAATGCAGACATTCCTGGCTCTAAAATATCATTTTCTTTGTTCATCAGTCATGTCTCCAGGCCCCTCTGATATTACTCTTGCTTTCTACAGTGGAACCTCAAAAATTGAACTTAATCCGTTCCAGGAGCTAGTTCTAAATTCGAAAAGTCTGAAATTCGAAGCAATATTTCCCATAAGAAATAATGGAAATACAATTAATCCGTTCCAGAAACCCAAAAATATTCACACAAAAAATACATTTTATAGAGATTAATTACAGTTTTACATACAACAAATACTATAGTTTTTAATTATGTATAGTAATACATATAAAATAAAATTTTTACTTACCTTTATTGAAGATTGGTGATTGCATCTGGAAGATAGGGAGGAGGAGAGAGGGAGTTGGGGTTAGTGTTTGGAAGGAGAATCCCCCTCCATGAGGACTTCAGGTAAAGCCCTCTCTGGGGTTACTTCCCTTCTCTGTCTTTTAATGCCACTAGGACCAGCTTGAGAGTCACTGGACTCCTGTTTCACAAAATAACTGTCCACAGTCCTCTGTCTGGGGCCTCTTTAACATTTCCCTAAAATGGGACATGGTTCTGTCACTGAAGTTGTTGCAAAGATGGTTTGTTTCAGCTTGCTCAGGGTGGTACTTCTGCACAAACATTTGGACATCATTCCACTTGGCACAAATCTCCTTAATCTCTGAAGAAGGCACCTCATCCACTCCCTATATTAACACCTTTCGCAACATCAGCTTCCTTGATTTGTTCTTTCTTTGACAGGATAGAACCGATGGTCGACTTGTTTTTCCCATACATCCTGGCAAGCTTAACAAGTCTCACACCACTCTCATACTTCTGTATTATTTCCTTCTTCACATCTATAGTGTTTCTCACTTTCTTTACCACAGGGGTACCACTAGCAAGTTTCTTTGGGCTCATGGTAGCTTATTTCACAGTCCCACAAGCACTAAACACAATGAAGTAATCGTAAAATGCATGAGAGCTCAGGTTAGTGTTCACTCAAGCATAAACAAAGCTAGACTGCTCACGGCACCTGCGCGGGGACGCGGACAGAGCGGGCGGCAGACAGGTCCCATACCCGGCGGTCCGAAAATAGGGGCGCGTTCGATAATAGGGACACAGTTTCTCCGAAAAAATGGTCCTATTTTCGAAACGTTCGATATGTGATACGTTCGATTTTTGAGGTTCCACTGTATTTTGAATTTTTATTCAAACAAAAAAATAGAAGATTTACTGTTATGCAGACTACTGGAATATTGTAATAATTGTATAAATAATGTCAACCCATTCATGACTGCATATTAGAATGGCTAGTTGGACATTTATTGGAGAAGGACATCATTTGTTTACTCTTGAGCATCGGCAAAAATCAAACATTTTCCCTACTTTGAGCTCCATTTCATTGTTAGTTTTTTTTTTCTAAATTTTATAGGCTAGAAAAAAAAATTCCCATCAATACTTAACGAGATATGGAAGTGTAAAATTGACAGAAATTGACCCGCGTACAGCAAGATCGCCGACTGCTGGTCACCCGGTAATCATTTATTTTGTTTGTTTTTTTCTACCTTTTTCCATTATTTTTTAATTTTTTTTCTTTTCAAGTAACTTTTATGGCCTGTGAGATCAGTGTGAGGACTATTTTGTAAATATTCACTCTTTCTGTACTACACAATGGCCTGTGAGATCAGCGTGAGGACTATTTTGTAAATATTCACTCTTTCTGTACTACACAATCACTGCACAAACACTATTGTTATTGTATTGTTTACAAATGTTACAATTTTTCTATATTATATATGCATCTATACAGTCACTGGACATGTTCTTAGAAGTTCTGCAGCTGTCAGCATAATTGCTAATCCCTGTGTTGTATAGCATATCATAGTACAGTGGACCCCCGCATAGCGAACTTAATCCGTGCAAGAGGGCTGGCCGTTATGCGAAATGTTCGCTATGCGAATTAATTTTCCCCATAAGAAATAATGGAAATAAAATTAATCCGTGCAAGACACCCAAAAGTATGAAAAAAAAAATTTTACCACATGAAATAGACATTTTCCTACACACAAAGAGAAGGATACATGCACAAAAGTAGAGTAGTACATGCACAATATATATTGTGCATGTACTACTCTACTAATAATAAATGAAGAAATAAATGACTGATGAGACACTGTGTCCTGGGAGTGCCTTTTCCTCCTGAGTACTGTAGGTCCTGTTTGGTATTTTCTTCCAGAACAGGCCTTATCACACTGTGTATGTCACTACGATTCTTAAATCTCTCAAACCAACCTTTGCTGGCTCTAAATTCACCAATATGAGCACTAGTTCCAGGCATTTTCCCTGTTCACCTGGGTGTTAGTCGACTGATGTGGGTTGCATCCTGGGAGACAAGATTAAGGACCCCAATGGAAATAAGTTAGACAGTCTTCGATGACACTGACTTTTTTGGGTTATCCTGGGTGGCAAATCCTCTGGGGTTAATTGTTTCTTGGTATTCTCAA